TGCAACGGTGTAGATGGTTAAGTCTCGGTTCTGGCGAGTTACGAATCAGAGTCATAAAGGGCTGGAGTCTCAGGAAGTGAGATCTCCGATGCAGACGATGTGTACACAGCATTTGCATAGGGTATGCGTAAGTGCTAACTGTCAAGATTGCCAAGGCTTAAAAACTCACTTTGGTCATTACTCTGATGCATTTGTATTACCCGGAATGATCGTAATTTATTAGTGAGTACTGGTGTGCATAAGTTTTGTCTCAATGCGCTGTTTATTGACGATAAGGACTTCACGTAATGCAAATAAAGCAATTTCTCAAATGCTCTAAAGTCCAATTGCCTCTCCAAAGAAAAGTTTTATTACATTTAAAAACGAGTGCGATTTCTGGAGTTGCAAATGTCTCCAGAAATTTGTACCTTCACAAGACGAGAAAAAACTCACGTCAACCTACTTACGCCTCACCCCGCCCTAATTTTTGAGTACCTAATCAATTCTTCTGTATAATTATGTGCAGCCAAGCTTACGTCCAAATGTGATAATTTGTTAGAGAAATATGGGAGAATGAGAGGCCGAAGTGGTGCCGGCCTTCATTCTATCCCATATTCCAGTCTAGGCCTTCTCACTGATAATAAAAAACCATGAGTCATGGCCAGGATGCGAAAAAACAACCACGCAGAGGTCATGCTTGATGAATCTGCGCCCATTCCACCGACAATTATGAGAGCATTACCCAATCAAATGCCTAATGCCACGTCCGGCGGCAGCGACTTCTGCATCTCTTTCATCTCTACCAGTTACAATGGTTGTCTGCACCACCGTCGCATTGCAAGTCACCGCCTCCTTCAAATTAATGCACTTGTGCCACCTATAGCCAATGGAGAGGCCTCCCGTCTCTGGCTAATTGGGGGTGTGCTTCGATCCACCCACCATTGCTAACTCCCAAACAGCACCTTTGTCTGACCTCATGTCACGCATCGCCTTCTTCACTAGGGCTGGTGTTCAGTGGAAGAGATA